ACAATACTGTGTCACTATTTATGTAGATTAATTTTGTGATTTTTAGGAGGAAATTATTTAGTTACTTGTGCGTTATATTTTTTCCTTTACGGATTAAAAGCGTGTTTTTTAATTTTACAAATAATGGAATTGAATCCATTAAATCAACATTAAAAAATGTTTAATCAACAGGTAATGGGCTATATAAAATTTTCGGTACCTTGCAACCCTTCCTGCGACCAGAAATAAATTTTCTAAAATTTATAAGACTTTGTAAAATTGGTACATACACAAGACTATCCATCTGGCAGACGAGAAAGATCCTTGGTGCATTAATTCAGTGAATTTTTTCTCGTCCAGATTACGTATGCGCGAACCATTATTTCCCTTCCCGTTTCTGATCCTTTCACCATAACACGCCCAAAGCTTCTTAATAATCGCCAAAGATCGATCTTCGCTGTGGAAGCTCGTGGTTGTAACAAAAGGCACATCGTGCATACACGCACACTTGTAAACTGTACACGGGCATTGGTAAATTCGTACACGTTCTCCGGGAAGGAACCACCAGAATCTCAACGGCCCGAAACCCATATAGAAAATTTTATTTTTTATTTTTTTATTCCTCACTTACCGACAATTCTTCTTTATAGGCAGCATCATCATCAGCGACTAAAAGACCAAAAAAATATTGCGAAGAAAAGAAGTAGGAAAAAAAGGAAAAAGAGGAGGAGAAGGAGGATCAAACGAAGGATGAAGGTGAAGAAAGGAAGAAGAAAGAGCGGTGTATCCGTTGCGTTCCGTACCATATGGTCGCCGGCGGCGAGTTATTATTACTTTTTTTTTTCTCCCAGGGCTCATCACGGAATCGCCCGAAAATTGGCCGCCCCTTTTTTTCTGCGGCATGAACCTCCTCGTCTCCTGCTACGTGTACTCTTTTTTGTTTCGAGTGCGCGCGCGGTCGTCTGGAAAGGATGAAAAGAAGAGAGAAGCGGAAGAAAGATAATTCCATAATTCGGCGTTTTTCATTTGAATTTCAATTCTGCATGAGTTACTGACGTACATGTTAACGACTCTTTCTCCCTCCCTCTCTCTCTCTCTCTCTCTCTCTTTTACCATGTGATCGATACAGTTTTCACAAAAATTAAACTCTGGTCTTTCTAAAAGAATTTTTACTCACGTCATTTTTATCATTTGTACATACATTGTAGGCTGTAGTTTAATATTAAATATCTGTTTGCATAGTTGAAAAAATACAAAACCTATCGAATATTTTTATTGTATTAAGATTTAACAAAATGTTATGAGGATTTTTTTTTTATGGTGAACACATTATTTCTTCTAAATTTTTCCTTATTTAAAATATTTAACCTTGCAATTGTTACAAAATAATTACAATTTAGTACTGTAGCACTGTTTGGTGAGTAGTAATGGAACGAAATTTCCCGGTAAAAATATTGCTTTATATTGTACGAAAAAAAAAATATTCATTCATATCATTAGTTTGTAATTTTAAAACTGTTGGTATATTCCAGATCCTAAATTTTCAAGATTATTATACTCAAGATTCGTTGTGATATTATATTAATGGACAATAACATCACATCTTAGAATAATTGAAAAATAATAAAAAACGGTATGTGATGATTTTCAAAGTTTATTTTTCTCAAGATTAAATTCTGTGATGCTTTTTCCATTCTACTTGCACTTACATAACGTTGCCAACATCTTGTTTAAAAAAATCAAAGCAAAAAAAAAGAAAAAAGGTTGGTTTAACCCACAATTTTTTTTACAACTACGCTCATAAAAGTGTCAAAAATTACTGTCTCCCTCTCGCATATTCCTCTCCTTTCCCCAACCGAATGTTTAACGATTGACGCAACAATTAACGTGCAGTCAAAAATTATTAAGCCCCTCATCCGCTTTGATCAGATTCCCAAGATAATAAGTCGTTCCGAAAAAAAATCATGTACGAGCCCCGTTAACTTATTAAGCCACTTAAAAGTAATTAGGAAAACAATCGCTCCCCGACGAATTTCATTTCGTGTCTACAGACGAACCAAGAAATAATAGCGATCATAATAATAAAAAAGCAAAGCGCCCTTTCGGAGCAAAGATAAAAAAAATTTTTTTTTTAAATCTTCGTGCTCTTTCCAACCAAAAAATTTTCTATTAAAACCAACTTAAGTAAACAAGCCTCATCATCGACACGGGCTTGTATAAAGGCGCATCATTCCCTAATGGGCGCACGCCGAAATTTTATAATCATGCGTTATTTTCAGCTCGAATCATCGCAGGCATTAAATGCTTCATAAAAGTTACAAACGCGGGATATCGCACAGCAACGCTGTTATTCACGAATTATAAACGCTGCGTTTTAGGATAGTCAAGGGGCTGAATCGGGGTGGGGGGAGGGTGTCCAATTTTCGAGAGACTCCGCAGCCTCGAGGCCTTTTGATACGTTGATCTTTGAGGGGCAGCCGCTCTCTAGGAATTCCCTCGAAGGTTGAACACGAGCGCGACGATGATTCGTAACGTGCCAAATTGTGGAGGGTATCTATATATATATTTTTACATGGGATATACTTTATCTCTATTTTTTTTGTAATTTTTAATTAAACGAAAGGCATAATAAAGCACAGATGTGTTGGGTGCCTAAAAAGAAAAAACTGTACAGGAGGGGATCGAGAGGGTTTTTTCAACGGGCTTGCATAATTCATGGCGTTAATTGGTCGTTTCATATTTATAGGGGAAAAATTGGAGTTTAATTGAAGAAAGTGGAGAAAATCGCGGGGGGCTGTTTAATGATGAATGTATACTAAATT